GACACGGAAAAAGACAAAAGAAAAAAAAAAAAAAAAAAAAAAAAAAAAAGGAAGAGACTCAAGACCAGACCTGCTTTGCCACCATTTCCTCACATCTTTTGGCTTTGGATGCAGACATGTGCCTGGAATTGCAAGAGCCATCTTGGGACAAGGTGAAAAGCATTAGGCTGAAAAACTTACATACTAACAATGACAGAGCAGAATGACTGAAAGAGCCTGGATGTTGGTCCTGCCATATAGGCCCTGTTAAAGGTCTGTTTAACTTAAGACTTCTTGTTAGGTGAGAAAATTAAATATCTTTTCACTTGACCGATACTTCAGTATCGGTCAGATTTTCTGTTACCTGCTGCCAAAAGCAAACCAAATTTAGCAACCAAGAAATGCTTTCTTCTGGTAGGTAGTTAGATTTTGGTGGCAGCAATGGGGAACAAATAGAATGCCAACCCCTATCTAATATATGAGATTGAAAAGCTTTCATTAAAGATACAAAAAAAGAAGGCAATTAGAAGATAATAGCTACAGACAACCAAAAAGAGAATAATACATAAATTATGGAAGTAGAGGAAATAAAAATGTATACCACACATAAACATACAGATATACAGTAATACAAGGCAATCCCTTATTTTCCCAATGATAAGATCAAAATTTTTACCCATATGCATCTATAAATATTAGGAATGCAGATGAAATAGTCAAATATTTAATTATAATATTTAATATTGTAATCTAATTATGTATTTACATTTTAAGTTAAATATATTTGGAAATTTTTTTCTCCTCACTCTAATGTTTTATGAAAGAATTTTATCCAAAGTCTTCACATGCATCTTCAAATCAATATCTTTTACTGATTCACCTATCAGTTTTTCTAATATATAAGGTCTTCATTTCCTTTTAAGTTAACAGAAGGAAAGAGAGCACTTTTTAATCTATATGTTGCTACTAGAATTTTTTTCCCATGTACTAATTACTATATGCATAATATTGGGGCTTAAAAAAATCATCATCCTAGAGGGCTATATACATGATTGTCACATTACCACATTTCTTTTTAAGTGACTTTAGAAGGCTTACTTACAATAGTATCTAATACCTGAAATTATGACATCAATATTAAATTTCTTTGATGTCTTTCTAAAACTGATTATGCCTGAGGACCTCTAAAAGCATCCAAAACTCAGTGAAAACTTCTCCCAAAAAGCATTTTATTACTTAATGTATGCAATATTTTTGAGAGCACATCTTGTACTATGGGAGATTTTATAAGAAAGAATTAGTTTATAAGGTAGGACAACTGTATGGCAAATGATTTGGGGAATATTTTTCCTTATATTAAGGTATATATGGATTTTTGCAATATAGTGAAATGGAAGTTTTCCTGCATCACAGAAAAACCAGAATCTGTAGAAAGTGTACAAAATATTCCAAGAGAAACAGATTCAGAACTATTAATACTGGGCTGGCCCCGTGGCGCACTCTGGAGAGTGCAGCGCTGGGAGCGCAGTGACGCTCCCGCCGCGGGTTCAGATCCTACATAGGACTGGCCGGTGCGCTCACTGGCTGGGCGTGGTGCGGGCGACACCAAGCCAAGGGTTGCGATCCCCTTACCGGTCACGAAATAGACAAAAAAAAAAAAAAAAAGAACTATCAATACTAAGTCATATTCCAGTAAATCTCAACCCTAAAGAA